CACGAGCCTTTCCCTGCTTCGGAGGGCGTCGAAGCTGCTGAAGGTCTCGGCATGGTGGGAATTCCACTTCAGGTTATACTTGCCACCAGTTGCCATAGTCTGACACTATGTTAACATGGATCCAAATGAAAATTCTAGGGGAAGAAAGTCATACACACAACGTCAAAACTATGAAATGCCCAATGTCATCAAATATCAATGTCTCAATGTCATCGTCCCCCAGGACGATCGTAAGTCTCTCTCGGGTAACCAGAATAAGCTTCACGTCACACGGAAATTGCCCATTTCGCTAATCCTACGATCCATCCCAGTCCCTACAAGCCCACGATGAATCTCTCTGCAAGCTTCATCAATCACTCCCCTGTCAACTGACACTGAAGATCAGGAAATCAACCAGGGACCAGTGTGAGACGTATCTCCAGTGAGGCCAACTACTCCAACGTCCATTGGAGGATTTTTGGAGCAACCCTTATGATTGGAAGGCTTTCTAACAACACATTCCATGCTTCTTGCATGGATCTAATAAGTTTCTGTCTGGTGCTCTCTCGAGTTTTCCTTGTTTGTCCGATTCCTCATCTTCATTTAGGTCGGCAGCATGTTGTATTTATACAAGATTGGCATGGGGAGTAGGAGGAAACAAAATGGCAAGAAACAAAAAAAAGGGGGGGGAGGGGGGTTGAAAGATAAGATAAGCAATAATTAATTATCATTAAAGAAAGACAGGCTAATCTCAAACTCTTGTAATGCCTAAAGAGAAGAGGCCTACAGGATGTTCCCCAAGTGGGTGAAAAAGACATAGGATTGAGTGTGCCAGTGGCATGCCCAAGGGTTGGGTTTTGGGGGTCATAACCTCCCCCCTTGGGATCAATTTTACAGGTTTAATTCTGAAAAATGTTTTTATTTGGCCACAAATTCTGGGTGGGTTACCAGTTTTTTTCATATGGCAACCCCCCCCCCCCCCCATATTTGGATTTCCTGGGCACGCACCTGGAGTGCAATTGACAACATGGCAGTGGTGTGCACAAGGCAAATAAATAGCCTGTTAAAATGTCGCCGTTAAACCCCAAAATCATCGGAAGTGACAAAATCGACGTGCCCAACTCGGGAATAGCACTCAACTATGAAGCATGCAAGCACGCCTAACGTTACGTTGAAAACTTATGCCTACCAAAGAGAGGCTTCCGAAAAGCAGGCGTGCTTGACTGTTACGCCCCAAGCTTTCATAAGACAGGTAACATTTTCTGATTTTGTTGGCACTCTTTTCCCCATCCTCCCTATGGCCACAACGACATCAAGGCAAGGCCGCCGTTCCATTTTCCACCTGGTTCGCCAAACCCCCGACACGAGTTGCAGCAAAGTGGCTTGACCTGCCACCAACGACGACGAGGTAAGCACAAACGAAACGAGCTCTCACTCCTCGCCAACCACGAAAGGCACAGGGACAAGCACGTGGACCCCGACCGATGGACGCCGCCATGACGCGACGCGAGCGCCCCCACGACTTCCGATGCGGGAACTTCGACGTCGACTTGGGGCCGGGTCTCGTTCCTTTCACCGATGGTGGGGATTACACGGAAGGTAAATATCTGGTTTATTCCTGATGCGCAGTGAAAAGGGGCATGAATGAATAAAAGAAAAGGGAAAACGACAAAATAAATGCCACATCGTTTGGAATCATTGACGTATCCTTGGCCGGGTATAAACAGGAGCAACCGAGAACGAACGGGAAAAGGAGGAAGAACTGGAATCCCATTGATCGACAGGGTCTCACCATAGGTGTCGCTGGAGATCCTCTACATCGACAGGGTCTCTCCATAGATGTCGCTGTGGATCCTCCATCGATAGAGCCCCTTGGGAGAAAGCGCCCGACCAACTGGGTCACACTTTTCGACACATCTGATTGGCTGACGCGCATGGACGTCGCTCCAGTCTTGCATGGACGTGGCCCATGCGTTGCACCCACGTGAAGTGGCTTATCCGCGCTGATCGTAGAGCAATAATGCCGCGCTATGGAGATGAGCAAGGTTTTCTTCAGTTTTTTGTTTCCGATAGATGCCCGGAGAATCTCCCGGAACTTTAAGATTCATCTTACACGAGGTAACCATAACATATAGGCCTAGCCGATCCAGTGAGGAGCCCCCTTGGGGGTCGGGACAACATTGCCCCCACTTTAAGCGGTTGGCTTTTGTGTAAATGCAGAACCTTTTCGTGGTGTGAATCCAGGTTAGGCCTCTGAAGATCTGCCGAAAAAAAGACGTTATCTGATATAAGGTCATTCGGGGTAAGTGTGATCGATCCTGATATATTAGTACTTACAAGTACCGTATGCCATCAACGAAGCATGCACTAAGAGGTACTATCCTGGTTCGCATGTCTCGTCAAAGTTTCGCTGGTTCAACCGAGAGATGTTTCATTGAATATAAAAGTGCGCCTCATTCAATCTTCCTCCCTGCAGTCCTGCAGAATCAAATGGTTCCCTTTTTTGCGTCATGGCGAAGCAGTTTCCCATGCTCTTTCCGACCAGACTCACCGCCAGTGGCGGATACAGGGGGGGGCGGGGGGGGGGGGCCGCCCTTTCTCGTATGATAGTCCCCTAACCTCCTTAATCATTCTTGCCTAGAACTTGTCCGTATTCTGAGCCTCTCGACGAATCGGACATCGAAACGAAATCGGGTCGCGTTTACGTCGGTCCCGGAGCTGCCACAGAGCGACCGTCAGTCGCATCGCCCCGTCCTGGTTCCAAGGCGATGGGACGAGGATAAGGGGCACACGTTGGAGCAATCCAGTCGGTCACGGGCGCCGGGGCGAGGGCAAAGACGCCGGGGCGAGGGCAAAGGCACCGGGGCGAGGGCACGTACGGATGTTGGAGCCTTGTAAACGCGGTCGACTTTCGAACTCCGTGTGGTGCATATTAGAATGCGCCTCGGGGCGGGGGAGCCAGGGCCGCATCAACAAGGCTAATGTATTCGTTTGGTAATTCCTAAATATGAAAAAAAATGAGTAGGAACTGGCATTCAATCTCTTCGCGTGGGTTTCTACCGCTGACACTGATGTCTCGACTACGTTGATTTCGCAAGCGAAAACAGTGATGAAAGAAATCCCCGACGAAATACTTTCCGATTTTGTCGACGAAGACAAAAAAGAAGATGGAATTGAAGTGACGAATATAACGACGAAAATAACGGCGGAGAAACGAGACAGAGCAATGATGATCGTTCTAAGGCCCCAATCGACGCAATCGGCCGCAAACGAAATCCGCTCGAGACGGAAACCCACAAAACCAAACTTCCACGAAGAGTCGACAAAACCGATGCATTTCTCCACGGGACAGAGACCCTCGCGACCTCACGGCAACGTTGCGATCGGAGGTGCCTTGGAGGTGCCTCGAGGCACCTCTTCGCATCTCCGAGGGCTTTCCGATCGGAATCGAGCGTATCAGCACGTTTTGGCACCGAAGAGGTGCCGATCCCTATTTTTCGAAGGAATTTCTGCAACGGGAACGAAGCCGATGTGACCCGGCACACCGGAAAATGTCGCAATTCTACTTCCGACAACCAGACCGGAATGAAAGACGAAATTTCCATGACGAGTTCTCGACTGTGATGGCTTCATCGCTCCCTGCATATATCTGTCTCTTCACTTTCCAGCCGGTTTCGTGTCTTCACCCATCCAAAAGAAACAGTCTCACGCAAGACCAAAGAGCCGAACGGCTTCCAGATTCTGTCGCAAAAAAAAAACCATTTGAGTATACGATATTCCATGCAAACGATAGTCTCGAGTCGGTTCGAATTCGAATGCGACGTCGGACGTGAGACGCATGCGACGTCGGCCGTGAGACGCATACGACGTCGGCCGTGAGACGCATACGACGTCGGCCGTGACTCTCGTCTCCCCCTGCACTTCACCTCGATTTTCCGTTCTTATCGCGATGTACATCGACGAAACAAGCATAGAAAATCATAATCGCAGCCATTGAAAGCCGCGACACGACGGACACCAGCGTGTCACAGGCGGATGATGAAATAGGGGGAAAACATTTCACTTCCTTCGGCTCTTCTTGGAAGGGGGAGAGGCTCAAGATACAGGTGGACTCCTTTTCTTTAAATGCAAACCCGCTTAAGTACGGATGCCAGGCACGTTTGTCCAGCAGCTTCATCATTTTTTATTCTTTTTTTTTAGGCACAGAAAGCCTCTCAATAGTGATGGGTTATTGACCAGTCAATTAAAAACATGGCAATTGACTGGTCAATTGGACTGGACCAGTCAATATGGTCAAATATGGTCAACTATGGTCAATTTTGGTAAATAGGACTAACTTTTATTTATTTTTTTTTCCTTCGTACTTTTTGCACCATTATATATGTCATGACTTACAAGTGATAGACTAGGGATGGGAAGTTAACTGGTCAACATGGTCATTTTAGACCATTTGCAGAAAATAATGGTAATGAGCCCAACAAGAGGTTAGGCCTTATGACTATATGATCATGAATGACCATGTTGACCAGTCAACATCTCATTGCTAAGATAAATTTAATTTTCCAACTCATGCAATCTATAGGGTAAACAGTGATGAATCATGTTTCAAGGCCAGATTAATTTTTTTAGGCATAGGCATAGGCATAACCCAAGTACTTGTCCCTTGATCACAGACTTTGAGAATAATTTGATGCTCTGATGCAGACTATTAGCCAGGACCATGATTGACCTTGCACGAAACTAAAGTTCCAAAGTTGTTACTTAAATCTTGAACCTTAACTTTGAAGGTCCTTGAGGCTATAAAACTTTGAACGGCAGGCTATGTCTGCACACACACTCTGCATCACTCAGGTGAAAGGTCATGGTAGTTTGAGCATTTGCTAAAATGTATTCCTACACAACAGGTGCCACTGTCTAGGTGTTTGGCAGGCTGCATGAACAAATCTTAAAAATTGAACTGGCTCTTTGGTTTTAGTGCTGGGGGATAAATGACCACAGTTATGAGCTTTATAAAAATATCTTAATTCACTGAAATAAAGAAATTAGTGGTCAATTGACCACCCCATCCCTAGCCCCTACCCCCCCCAAGAACTGCCAAATTTCAACAAAAACATGGCATATGGAAGATTGGAAACTAAATGCTACTTCACTAAAGAAATTTAAAAATATGATTTTCCTCTCTGCTTAGAGCTCCAACTGGGAGAGATCCCTCTGTCACCCCATACAGGTATGAGGTGGATGCCGCCAGTGCATGCCAGGCACTCTGCTTGAACATCTCCCATTGAATCTTGCTAGGAGACAGTTTTGGTAACCTTTATTCCATAACAGATGAATCAGTAAACATAAAAACAGAATTTGCTTTGAGCTTGCTCAGCTTCCTCTGTCTTAATCAAACAATGGAGCAGAAAGATTCATTTTCTGGAGCACCTTCAAGCAGTCCAGACCTGCGGAGGGAGGATTGTGCTGGGCGGATTGGGACATTGGGATCCTCAGGTTCTTCTGCATCCCCTGAATCTTCTGCATCCCCTGAATCTTCTGCATCCCCTGAATCTTCTGCATCCCCTGAATCTTCTGCATCTCCTGAATCTTCTGCATCTCCTGAATCCTCTGCATCCCCTGAATCCTCTGCATTTCCTGGATCTTCTGCATCCCCTGAATCTTCTGCTTGCACACCCCACCATATTTGCTCATGCAGTTCCCCTTCAAATGAATGAGGTATACCAACAATGAAGAGTTAAATGGTGGTCCAGTTCAGAAGGAATCTGTCTAACCCATGAAATACTCAACACTTTCAATATCAGGTAAAAAGGTGATGATGGTATATGTGGCACTTCCTTAACTCCTAACCTTAACTTACCTTAACCCATTCACCCCATGCTAAGAAAGACTAAGAAAATGAACTGCATTAGTTGCATTGAATTTAGTACTGTTGATTATTTAATTTAACTATTGCTTTAGTATGAAACTATCCATATTTTCAAAAGCCAGTGGGGGACATAAAACTTTGGCAATCTTCATAAGTTAGCATGTCAAAACAACTTCAGGAGTGAAAGAATGAGAGAGGGAGAAGGGAATGCCTGTGTCACTTCAAGCACAGGTGGCATTCCAATAAATTGCAGGTGTTTGTATTACTGCAGGAAGATCCCGGAACACAATTATTTAAGGGAATATATTCTTTAAAGAATTTAAGGCTTCTTGAAAGAAGGTGGGAGTTTTTTTCGTCATATGAATACAGATAACTTCAAATTCTAAATATAAATGGACAAGTTATGTTTTCTATTTCCATTAAAACAGATTTTGATAAAATAATATAAACAATGCACAATACAAACTTGGTAACTCCTTTCTTGGCCATTACAAGAATCAGGAGAAGGGATCACTTTTATTGTCTTATTCCCAAATTATACAACACCTTATGACTACTCAAAGTAAGCACTGCCCAAATCAATGCACAGCTCCATTTCTGTAGAACCATTTACTAAAACACCACCTCATGGTGTCTTAACCCTCTCCTGGCCCTATTTCAAAGCCTCAGTTCTCCAAATATTACCTGATAAATATCTAACATTAATATTAAAACAAAACTGTGCCTTGTATAAGCTGTTAAAGCACCAAATAGTGAGTCAACTGTCTAACAGGTGACACAAGGAGTCTGTAAACAAAACAAATACTTACAAGCGCTTTGGCTGGGTGCAATAATTTTATTGAGTACTTTTGAGCCCCTTGGCAGGGATAGGGTTAACTATGCCTTCCAAGACATTGATGAACCTTTCCAGGAGATCCTCGAGTAACAAAAAATTCTACCCCTTCAGTTGTTCCTTCATTTTTGGGAAGAGGAAATAGTTGCAGGGGACCAGGTCAGGTGAGTAGGGAGGGTGTGGGACCAGGCAAAGGTTTCCTCAGTAAAGAAGGAAGTTGTCAATTTGGCAATGTCCATTGGGACATTGTCACGGTGCAATTTTCAGTAACATTTACAGGGTGGTTCATAAGTCCAGCCCCATAGGGTAATTATAGAATATACTGTATGTAGGATTAACTCCAGGTTTTCTGTTTTGCTTTATGTTGTGACAACACAGGAGTCCTACAAGGCCTTAAAGTTTACAAATGATGGAACCAGAACACGCAACAGTGTACATTCCTTTTTTTTTAGTAGAAAATCTTTTCATGTTACCCAATGGGACAGGACTTCTGGACCCTATATATATCCTACAAAGCTCTTACGTTGGTCCATGACATAACACCATATTTTGCCCATGTAAGCCAAGTCATTATCTCTCCATATTTGAAGTCATATCTTTCCAAACAAGACATCAAACTTTTGACCAGAGAAAGTTCAGCAACTTTTTGACAGATCTTGTATTTGTACTGGTTTTTTTGTTGACAAAGTGAAACTCCATAAAAAAATATTCAAGGATATCTGTGAATTACCATGAGTAGCAATATCCTAATTTCTCTGCATTCTGACATGCTCAGTTGGAGTGTGTTCCTAATTTTGAGACAGAGTTTTCATTATAGAGCACTAATGCAACAACTTGAAAAGTAAACTGACCCTGAGAAGTAAGTAACTCCTCTGCTGAAATGGCTCTTTTTATCTGGCGCAAGAGATGTTTTGTTTTAACCCAGACTACTGGCACCGTGCCTCTAAAATAAATGCTTGCATTTTGATTTTGACAACCCCCATCAATTTCAAGGCTTCCTTCATGTGCTTGTGGCAGATCTCGAAAGAACATCCAGGGTGCATTCTCCTGGCATCCACCTAGAAGAAAAGGGGTAAGAAAAATGATACCTTGGATCCACGAAGGATAGTAAAAACAATCTACTTCATATTTAGCTAAATGCATTGAAAGTGAAAAAGGAAAAGCAAATTCATATTACCATTAGCTGCTTTTTTAACATGACAGCTCCCATGTTGTGAAAGCACTGACCTTCATTTGAATCATGTCTAACACAGGTACTTGATATCTACTGGTGAGCTTCCCAAGTACCTAACAGGCATTAGTTAATAGGCTACAAGACCCATAAGGTTTGAATATAATCATGTAAACACATTAAAGGCTAATGAAGTTCTTTAAACATCACCTTTTGAAGAAGACATTGCCATTACTGAATTATGCACATATCCACACTAAGTTTAACTTACATGAATCAAAATTCCTTAAATATATGACATAAATTTAAACCTGACGAGCTAAAAAAGTTATTGTTAAAACAACTTCAACCCTTTAATACATGATTTTTTATTTAATGGCCAAAAAAATTGGTAGGTTTTACTTGGGTCCTAGAACATGAGAAAAGTGGAGAAAAAATTACTTCCTCAAATTTGTAAGTAGTAGGCCTGAAAGTGTTAATGTTGCACATTTGCTACAACCAACATATTCAGCTTTCTAACCCACACTGCATGGAGAGCTCAGTCAGTCAGTCAACATTCATACATACCTCAATGCAAAAGAAAATGTGAAGATACGGATGAACCTTGGACCCTGGATTTAGCATAACATTGAAATTGCACCAAAAAAAGTCAGTCTGTCACATGATGAAGACATGCCTTTTAAATTTGCTTGCCACCAGGAGTGTAGGGCACCTAGTAACCACTTGGGTACTAGGTACAAGGATTGGACTGTTGCACATCTGCTATGAACTGACCTACCTCTAGAGCTTGCTACCTAGGCATTCTAAATATTTTATTTGGATTGTAGCATATCTGCTACATCATGCATTGAAGAGTTTAAAAAAATTATTAGAAAAAAAAAACTATTCTGTGGAGCTCTCCTTGCTCCTTCTTATGCTGTAATGATTACTGTAGAGAGGGAAGAGTCTCCCATCTCCCAAAGTGATGTAATTATCACATGCATACCCCTTCCTCATCCTTGCATCCACCTGTGGGTGGTGGCTGTTGGGCATAGTCAGCAGGCTTCATTGGGCGTGCAACTCCGATGTGGCTAGTTGAGAGTCCAACAGTCACCTGGTTTTGGGTGCCACACACCCACCAACTCAAATCTCCCCAACACACCAGTACAGATGAGATTCACCTCCTTTTATCATAAGGTTTGCTGTCAGATCTCTAGATCAAAAATGACATAGTGCTTGAGTTAAGTGATTCTCCTAATACTGCCTGTAAGTACAGGTCACTGGTAGGATCTTGGAGCAAAGCGAACTACCATCAAGAACCCTCATCAATGCAAAACAGCTTTCCCTTTTTAACCCTTTCCCTATATGTTTGTCAATTGCTTTAAATTAAATCATATGGACTTATCATTCTTTCATAACAAATGCACCTTCAATCCCTGATCAGAGTTCAGAGTAACCTGGAGTCATACTTGGAGGTTTCTCCTATAATCCCTCCCTTTCTGGAAAAAATGAGCATACTACCTTCCTGGTGGTTGCCAGGGAGGTAGCATGTTACCAATCATTTCAGTTCTGGTCACATCCCCATAGCATTTTGCTACAATTTTTCACACTTCCTTAACCTCCCTGGCGGTATGATTCTGTCTGGAATTTTGTACCAAAAGCGGTACAATTTTTTACATGCAAATTTGTTGTTTTATGTTGTAGGCCTGTAATTCTTAGGAATTACTCACTTAAACCTGACCAAACAAAGATTTTAGTAGACATCCCAGGTGTGATAAAATTTGAAACACAAAATCATAATAAATAATGTCATTTTATTACATAACGCAACCAAAACTAAAGCAATTCAGCAAACAGTAGAAATTTATCAAGCAAAGAAAAATTAATACACATCCTGGGTATGGTATATTTTAAAGCAGGGGACCGCACAAAGACCGACGTCACAGTCAGGACAGTAGTATCTGGTTTCCTTGCGGACTTTCTTCCCATTGCCATCTCGCTTTGAGCAGCACACTACGCACATCTTGGTAGGTGCTGCCTTTTTTTGAGTTGGCGG